CTGCTCTGAACGCTGGGAACCATGCATGTTCGTTCACACGAGACGGTCATTACGAAACCGGCGTGGCGATGGGAAGAAGAACGATAATTGTTTTCTTGACTTATTGTTTGTTTGTTTGAGTCTGTGACCCATTCTAATCTGTCATCTGGTGTATTACTGGGGCACAGACTACAAGAACAACAGATGTTTCATCTCCCTAGATTCCTTCAGACTTCCCCACACACACACACACACACACACACACACACACTGAAGTGCTGCAGCTACAGTTGCGCTCTGCTTGGCGTGTCTGCGGTGGGTATTTTTCTAAAGGTGTGTGGCACATCTGCGCTGCCATTGTTTATTCATGCGCCGGAGCCTTTGAAACGTGCTAAAATGCTTCCCACTCATTATAAAACTCCTCTGCCACCCGTGGATTAGCACTTTGATGTCACCAATCCGGCTTCAAAGGCTCCTTCAGTACCATTAATCAGAGTTTAGTCTCTGAAGACCCAGCCAGGGAAAACATTTGGACATCTTGTGCAAAAACTTTTGAAAAGCTCAGACGGTGCTGCATATGCAACAGTGGGGTTTTATATCACGAAGACGTGTGTGTGTGTGTGTGTGTGTGTGTGTGTTTAAGGAAGCGAGAGAAGAGGAAGCAGGAAGAGAGAGTGTATTAACGACAGAGAGAAAGAGAGATGAGAGACAGTGACGACTCACTCTGATCCTGAACGCTCTCAGCACTGGATATTAGACAGTGCATAGGTCACAAGGTCACAACACGGGCTTCATTGAGGCTGTCTGTTAAAGGGTTTTTGTCTTAAATAAGAGTTGTACTCTAATTCCCTATATTACATGACAAAACACTGATGTAGTTCAGTTAGAGGGTAAATGAAGGTCATTTTCTGCTATGTGGTTGCACTATACTAGCCCAGAAAAGTAGAGACTCTTGTGTTGGTTTTGCCAGTTTCAAGTGCTATAGTTTTATTACAATGAGCCATTATAATAAAGAAAGTTTATGTTTGTCACTTGTCAATTTTATTAATGTTATTTAATATCGTCAAGATTAACTTTAACATTTCACTTAAAAAAACAGTACTTGTTACAGAAATAATATGTAAGTACCAACTGAATGTAATGTTTTGGACACTGGCATGTTATTTATAATTATATAAAATTATTTTATTTTATTAATTGCAATTAGCTGAACATTAGAGTGCTGTTTGACTCTTTTAAGTAGGACTTAAGTATATCTTTATATGTAACTTCATAATTACTTCTGTTGTCTCTGAAATATATTAAAAGTATACTGCCAAATGTACTGCATTTATATGCATTTATAGTAAACTAAAATATAATTTAATGTTATTAATATATTTGTAATTACACATTTGTAATGATGGTGCAATTTGAAAAAAAAAAAAAAACTTTAAATGTAATATCATATAAAACACTAGTGTTGTCACGGTACCAAAATTTCAGTATTCGGTACCGATACCAGTGAAAATCCACTGTTCTCGGTACCAATTTCGGTACCAAAGCAAAACACAAAAACATGCTAATTGAACAACATTATTTTTTATTAATAACGTTAAAGAAAAATTAAATGTACAAAACCAATGCCATTCTTTATACTTATTTAAAATTGTTTCAAGTTTTTGCACAAGTAATAAAAGTATGAAAAAAGTAAAGAAGTTTCACCCAAAAGTTTAGTCATAGTTCTGCTGCCACTGAAAAACATCTGTAAACTTTTGTCTGTTTTAGGGTTTGCTGGTGTGTTTCAGGATCTTCCTCAGTCTGCAGCTGTAAAAGGAAAATATAATATACTTCAGTAAAGCAATGGGCTGAGTCTGACCAAACGCAACATTAGATCATTGACACCAGCTAAAATATAACTTTCAGTAAATAACAAACCTCAGCTTTTATAATAAATTTAGATAAGATTACATATATTACGTGTATATCAAATAGATGAAACTGTAGTATTAAAAACACTTTACAATAAGATTTTATTTGTTAGATAACATGACCTAACAATAAACAATAG